GCCTCGCGCGTACAAAGCTTTCGTCGCTCATCGCCTGGCGGAGATAGAAGATACGACCAAAAAGAACGAATGGCGTTGGCTACCGTCTAAAGAAAACGTGGCAGACGACGCAACCCGAGCCACACCAGAAGGGTTCGACGAGTCGCACCGATGGTTCCGAGGGCCCCCGTTTCTGCAGCGTCCACCGGCAGAATGGCCGCAGGAAGAGAAAACGACACAATATGACACCGGGGAAGAGCGAGAAATATGTAACATCGCTGTTAAAAGTGAAGACTCGACAACAACACATCTTCCACAGATAGGAAGATTTTCTAAATGGATTCGCCTCATAAGGGCGACAGCGAGAGTCCTCCTATTCATCGACATGTGCAGACCAAACAAGCACGTAGTGAAGGCTGGGCGTAAACGCAACAAAGCAAGACAAGGTAGCGACCCTGGCTGGCAGAGAACAAACAAACGCAACACCCCCGCCAAGGAGAAAAAGGCGACTCCTACTGCCTCATCGCTTGTAGGAATACCGGCCGCTTATCATATGAGAGCCGAACAACTGTGGGTGCAAGCCAGTCAGCGGGAAAGCTTCACGAAGGAGCTCAAGAGAATCACCAGCGGAAGTGTTCCGGGAGGCGACGACAAACTAGGCCACCTGAGCACATACATTGATGAAGAGGGGACCCTACGCCTCAGAGGTCGAATAAAAGCGGCATCAGAAGTGGAGGACGACATGTACGACCCTCCCATATTAGACGGGAAGCACGCATACACTCGCCTGTACATAGCACACGTACACGAGAGGCTGCATCACGGAGGCGTGGAAACAGTTGTGAATGAATTAAGACAGAGATTGTACGTAAGAAAAATACGTCCAGTAGTGAAAACTGTCGTCAAAGGATGCCTGCCGTGCCGTCTAAGAAAAGCCAAGCCTGCATCACCGTCTACAGGAAACCTGCCGTCCGCACGCCTCGCTCATCACGCACGTCCGTTCACATACACCGGACTAGACTACTTCGGGCCAATAGAAGTCACAGTGGGACGACATCGCGAAAAGCGCTATGGCGCGTTATTTACCTGCATGACGTCGCGAGCAATACACATAGAAGTAGCCCACTCGTTGAGCGCAGACTCAGCCGTGTCGGCACTTAGGCGTTTTATGAGCAGAAGAGGATGCCCAAAAGAAATATGGAGTGACAACGCTACGTGCTTCAAGGCAGCAGACAAGGAGATGGCCGAAGCAGCACTCGCAGCCCTCGAGCACGAAACCACGTGTCAACAGATTGTGTGGAAGTACATACCGCCATCAGCACCGTTCATGGGCGGCGTATGGGAGCGAATGGTTCGCTCCGTAAAAGAAGCCCTACGCGTCACCCTCAACGAGCGCTATCCCAGCGACGAAACATTGGGGACCCTGCTCGCCGAGGTCGAAAATACTGTAAACTCCAGACCTCTCACACACGTCTCAGTCGACCCAGGAGACCCTGAAGCCATCACGCCGAATCACATCCTCATCGGTCCCAACTCGCACGTACCTGCGCCGGGACACTTCAGCAAGAATGACGTGACGGCCCGCCAGCAATGGAAACGAGCTCAAGCCCTAGCCGACGTGTTTTGGAGAAGATGGGTTAAAGAATACCTGCCCCTACTCCAACACCGGCGGGAGCCCAGCAGCATAGGAGTATCACCGAAGATTGGAGACCTAGTCATCATTTGTGACTCCAATCTACCACGCAACACCTGGCCCAGAGGGAAAATAAGTAAGGTATATCCTGGCGTCGACGGAGAGGTACGAGTAGTGGACGTAACCACCGGCAGTGGGCACATACTAAGAAGACCAACGAAGAAGATCGTCGTGCTACCAGAGGGATCGCAGCGTGGCGACGGCGGGAGAATGTGCACGACGCAACAATATTAAACAAACGAAAGAAAATTCTTATTGTAACCGGCGCTAGTTGAACAACCTAGGAGCGGTGGGCGGAGCCATGACGACGGTGTAATTATCAGGCCACGCCTCTGGTTCGACAACTAGCAAGGGTTATACGGCGGGACTAGCGCAACCTTATGTTGAATTTAAATTATAATTTGTGTAAATAATTGTATTACTTGTATCGAACGATAAAAAATAATGATTGTATTATAACTAAGTTTAAGGTTGAGTTGTAACTGTGCAATAACTCTCCCAAATAAAGGCACCGTATGAACAGGGAGAGTTAGCATAGTCTTCTAATGAAAACTGTAATTGTTAAATATAATAAATGTTTACTTTATTATATAATAAATATATTAGGCCGTTAGGCACATAAAATAATAGTAGTAGTGTAACCAAAGAGCATGTTATCGTGACGCGGCCGCGGAGCAAATGAAGCCACGCGCACCGCGCCACGACGTTTTATATTTATAGTGCTGAGGCGGGGGGAAGGATTCTCCGCCTAAAGCAGCTGAAAATTATAATGTAAACCTGTAAATAAGTAAAAATATTGATATGTACACCCTAGTCTAACAAGTAGTTATAAGAATATTATATAGTGAATTATGTTTATTAGTTTGTAAGGTTATTAAATAAATAAAGATAGGCGCGGGGGTGAGGCAAGGGTCCGCTGGCCAGCAGCGGCCAAATCATATAAAAGACGGGCCGGCCGCTAGGGTCAGCAGTCGCTCTCCAGCCACCGAAAAGGCACCAGCAAGAAAAGAAAAAGTACAAGTTCCTCCTCACCGCCGCTTGCCTCCAGTTAAAAGCAAGACCAGCGCGTTTTATTCCATTTTTCGCACGGCATTACGGCGATCCGTAATAACTACTGACAGAAATTACTATGCGGGCGGCGATTATTCACTTAAGTGGAGACCAAAATATGTTCGTGAAATAGTTTCCACCGTCTTTTGAAATAAGTTGAATAGTTTTGCGGTATTCAGAGTACTTTCTTGAAGGTTTTGTTGGAAGTGCTCAAGAATCGATTCCTGTAATTTTACAGAATACAGCTGTCATCTACGTCCTTGGCCATGGGCTAGCATGAGGCTTCCACTTATTCACCGAATGATGAAATTGGTAATTTCATTCCAATAAATGACTTCAAACCCTTTGCATTAAAAACATGCGAGAAAATTTCCGTAGATTCTGCTATTCTAGTGAAGATTTTCACAAATAGTTGCCCCTTAGCCGTAGAGCACGTGAATTGCCGTAGTAATGTTAGCACTGGTGACGCACAAGTGTTTCAAAGCTCATTTTGATTAGTGAAGACGTACCTTTAAAGGCGAACCTAGACAATAATTTATTGCAATTGCGCCTATTAGCTAATATGGCGTACGTGAAATATGAATTTATGTGGCACTGAGTTGTATGCTTGCTAATTTAATGTATTCTCTTATGTTGGTAGTTCATTAAGACGCTTATATTTGTTTGTAATATGTGAACGATTTATCTTTTCAAATTGAAATATAACTCAAACATTCTAACGTGGTAGAGCCATGCTGCAACTATATTAATTGTATAGTTGTAGCACGAATGGGTCGGATCGACCGGGGAAGGACCACGCTCTTACAGAATACCAGCGTAAAATGTTCGAGTGTAGAGAACCGGAGACCCCTTTTACTGGAGAAGAGGCGTTCTATCTTAGTCCTCACGGCTGAGAACGCATCTGCATTTTGATTCGCAAACGAGGATCGATGTAGATGTCTATGGGCCACAGCAACCACTTACCATCAGGTGGACCGTGTGTTCGTTTGTCACCCTTGTCGTATATATAAAAAAATTAACAACAAGTTCTTTTATTCCCTCAATAATTTCGTGAAAATAAAAAAGCAGAGATTCGGTAGATGCGAGATATGCGTTTTTTTTTACTCTTTATAACACAAAAAAGTAAGTTAACGTATGAAATACATTTTATTATTAAATGTCTGTTTACTACTGCAATAATTTTCAAGAGATTTAACGCTGGTTTGGCTGCAGTATAGCTTATGACGTTAGTTATTGATAGATATTGAAAGAAATTGTATCGATACAGTTGCAATTTAAGTGCACTCGTCTGCGGTTTTAATCGATTCGTTTCACGTTGAATTAGCGTGTGTATACATGGTCATTTATTGTTGCGATACGAGAGAAACTTTTGTCACTGTTATATATTGTAAAGATCGATGGCCTAAATTATTTGCTTTAATTCAAATTTTCGAACGATGTTACTTCCAAAAAAAGGCTGATTTCTAGTTCTAAATTTACCGCAGCGGACGTTTGTTTTTCAAGTTTGTTATTTTTTTTTTGTAATAAATAAAACAATATGTTCTTGCAATAGTAAAAGAGAAAAAGCTAACTTATTATCATTTTTCGGTTCCCGGGGTGACGCACCTACTGAACGAATATTTTCGTCGCATCCTGGACAATCGACTAGTTTTTATTCCAAAATATTGTTTCGATATTGATATCTAAATAAAGCCAACATTATGAAACACCAACAGGGACACAATATTTGTAAGGGATCGTAAGGTTTACCAAGTCCCAATCTGCTAATTTCACCTGTACCCACAGATGTTTTTAATAAATGTGACGACCACGGACTACAGAAAATCCATCCAAACACGCCGATCTCAAATCCCACAGACCGGGAAGCGGTATTAGTACCAGCTAAGCGGCTTTGCGCTCACGTATCCTGACAAATCTTTCAATAAAATGTCTCGTTTTAAATGGATAGTAAAATTAAGAAAATTTAACTTTAGCTACAACCTTTTACGGGGAAGTAGGTTTCCTTTTCTGATGCCAAATAGTAGTGCGTGTACTGTGTGGCTGCAGAAATAGGTAAGTGTAGGGGTATAGGGGACCATTATATTTACAGCTGTTGAGGTATTCCATCTTAATTCTTAGAGGTTACAACGCATCCGTAGCACTCTTTATATGAAATTAGTTGGACCTGTCCATGTGTGCGTAGTAAGTAGACTGTAAGTTTGTTGTAACTTCGATTTTAGAAATAAACTCAACCTAACTAGCGTGAAGTAACATAGCGGAAATTGTTTTTACAAACTAGGTTTCTAATGTCTGAGGACAACCCGATAGTGGCGCCCAGCAAGTTGGACCTATGCGACGACATGGAGCAGCCGCTTGCGCACTATTTCATCAACAGTTCGCACAACACCTACCTCACCGGTCACCAAATCACCGGCAAATCTAGCGTCGAGATATATAGGCAGAGTCTGCTCGCTGGATGCAGGTGAGTTTTTATGCTTTAGTTACCAAGGTGATAAGTAAGTCACGTTCTGCCTATTTTCGCTTCCGTATACGTTTTAATCACGTATACCAACGGAGTTTGTTCCTGTTTAAGAAATAAATTTTTATTCCTAGGTTACGGTCTCAACTTTTGACCTTTTTATCCTGTGACTTCGTTTCGTCAACGATAATCCATATTTCATACGTGGTAGAGTCACGCTGCTACTATATTATGGTTGCAGCACGATGGGTCGGCTGGACCGGGCATGGACCACGCTCTCACAGAATACCAACGTAAAATAGTAGCTTAGTGCTCCGAAATGAGGCATTCCATATTAGTCCTCAGAGGTGACAACGCATCTGCATTTTGATTCTTAATTGAGCATAAATGTAGATGGCTATGGGTCACAGCATACACTTACCATCAGGTGGGCTGTGTGGTCGCTTGTCACCCTAATTCTATAAAAAAGATTCGTGTCCAGCATTGTTAAGTGTTCAGCAACTGTCAAGAGCTAAGCTGAGGTGATACGTGAATAATGAATATAATACTATAACCGTTTTACACATACGCATCGCACATTTGCGGATCAGATTGCATTTAAATTGTTCGTGTGTGAGCAGCAACGGGTTTAGATATCCTTAGTTTGCTTGTTTAAATGAAAAGTGCACACTCCGTCATGCTGTGTGAAGATTTGGAACGCTCACACTACATACTGTATACAATGGAAATAATTTACTATTTTATGATGACTATTGCGGGGATCAGCGGACGGTGGATTTGTTTATTGAAATCTAATCAAAAGTTTACCAAAATAGTCCTATATATAAAAAAAAATTACACACTGGAGAAGACTACTCAACTGAAAAAAGAATCGTAAACTAAGATTCACATCAATCGCAAAAATCGTGTTAAATTTACTAACTCAAAAGGGGGTAAATAGAGGTTGAATGTTTGTATGCAAGATGACGGAAAACTAAAAACTGATATACTCGTAAAAAGTAACAAATATTACATAAACATGTTTAAGTTCTGAAAAGAAATAACAAAATATATTTTTGGAAATTCAATTCTTCAGCAGTGGCTGGGCATGAACCTGCCATGTCTGAGAGGATTATGTCTGAAATCGGCACGTGCACGGTTCCAGTGTGTATTGGCGGACTTACATTTTCTCGATACATTTTCAAATAAGCATGTTTGTTTCAGCGACGATACGAAACACTTGCATTAACAATATTTGTGGTGTTTGCGAAAATTAAACTTGGGTTGTTTGGCGACGGTTATGGAAATATAGTCCGCCGTGTAGTGGCGGGTAAGAATACCCACTACTATCTTCCTGTGGGTGTCGTAAGAGGCGACAAAGGCATCAAACTGAGGCAGAAAATGGGCAGCAGCATCTTTCTGATAACAGAAAAACAACAATAAAAAACTGCGGTTGCCAACCCGCTCGCCTAGCGTGGCATCTATGGTAATATACCCCCCATGATTAAAGTTACGACGGCCTCCAGTCCCCGGCGGTCTCGCTATTTCTGGCTACGGTGGCGACCATGGTAACGGCTAGACAGGGAGTGCTAAGAATCTCCGGTAGAGGTTCGGTTGCCACCTAAGACGACTCGACCTGGCAATATATAACGCACGCTCCTTGAGGACTGACGAAAAAATCCTGGAGCTGGTAGAAGAGATAGACAAGTTGCGCTGGAATATTATAGGATTATCTGAGGTCTGACCAGAGGGGGAGGATATGGCAATCCTCGAATCCGGCAACTTGTTTTATCACCTGGAGGGCGACTATCTGTCCCAAGGAGGTGTCGGATTTATCGTCCACAAGTCTCTTGTTAACAACATTGTATTGAGAGTGTGCCGTCAAGGGTTGCGTACCTTATACTCATAATCACCAAACGGTATTCGCTGAAGGTCATACAGATTTACGCACCGACCTCGGCACATCACTATGAGGATGTGGAGGAAATGTATGAGGATATCTCTAGAGCCATGCATTCCTCCAAAACCCGCAATACGGTGTTAATGGGAAACTTTAACGCAAAACTGCACACAAGAGAGAACGGTGAGCTGAAGGTAGGAAAATTTGGAATAGGGCAACGGAACCCAAGGGGCCAGCAGCTGGCTGACGTCATGGAGAAAGAGGGACTCTTTATGATGAACTCTTTGTTCCAGGAGCGGCCGCACAGGAAGTGGACCTGGTCGAGCCCCGACGGTTCGACAAAAATGAAATTGACTTCATTATGACGACCAGACGACAACTGTTCAGTTATGTCTCAGTGGTCGCGTGGGTGAAAACTGATAGCGATCACCGAATGGTTAGAGGCACACTGAACCTAAACGTTAAGTTGGAGAGGTCTCGTCTAATGAAGTCAACGCTCGGTCCCTCTCGTGCTCTAATTAAAAATCCCGAAACCTTTCAACTCGAGCTACAAAACCGTTTTCAGTGCCTAGAAGATTGCAATGCAGTAGACGATATGAATGACAAGCTCGTGGAAACTGTCCATGCGGTCGGAGCTAAGTTTTGCAAAACCCGCCGCAGAAAAACACAAAAACTTTCCGATCACACTCTTAATCTCATGGCTGTTAGACGGAAAATGAAGCTGCAGTCTTCAGTAGAGTTGTTAGCATACAAGCAACTGAACAGACAGATTTCCAAATGCATGCGGCGGGACTTAGGCAAATTTAATACTGCTCGTATTGAAGAAGCGATCGAGCGGAACCAGGGCTCCAAGTCTTTGCTAGAGATCTGTTTGTCAGAAAGAGCCTACTGTCAAAGCTACATACTCTTCGGCAAATTGTACGGAAGTCCGAGGAGTACAATTTACTATGAGAAAGCTTTTGATTCCGTCGAAATTTGGGCGGTGCTGCAGTCCCTTTAGCGGTGCCAAGTTGACTGTCGGTGTATCGAAGTGCTGAAGCGCTTGTACAGTTGGGCTACGATGGATATCCGAGTACAGAACCAGACTACGAAACCTATCCAACTGCAGAGAGGTGTAAGACAGGGTGACGTTATACTCGTATCCCCGAAACTCTTCTCTGCTGCATTCGAAGACGTTTTCAAGATACTGGACTGGAAAGGATACGGTATTAACATCAACGGCGACTACATCACTCACCTTCGATTTGCCGACAATATAGTCCTTATAGCAGAATCGCTGGAGGACCTAAGCACTATGCTCAATGACGACGAAGTTAATAGAAGTTATAAAGAAAATGTGTAATTTTTGCATAATCACCGCAATTTGCCGTCCTTAAAGTGAGCAGAACGTTTTATTATACCATTTGAATTCGTTAGCGAAAACTTGCCAAGGCTTTATCTATGTTACTCCCATTTTATGTATTTTATCTTTACTCGTTAAATTTGCTTCATTATATTCGTCTGTGTTTTTTTTATTATAAATTTGAATAAACTGCTTGTATAGTGGAATTATTTTTCACTATCGTGCCTAAAATTTATTTAAACCCCCCCCCCCCCCCCCTCCCCCATAAACATGGTAGCGGAATTAAATGGAAGACTACCCCAGTAGCGTAGTGGGGGCCCCGGGCTGGAGTTTGCGTATACGTCAGAGAGGACATCTGTTTTCGACGCCTCGGCAGTCTTGAAGGTACGGACCTGTCCATCCTATGGCTGCGCGTAGACAGTGACGACCATCCCCTCGTCTACGGGTGCCTCTATAGGTCCTATAGTGGTAATGCTGAAACAGATCGACTCATTGACCACGTTCAAATGGCTACAGATTCCTTGCTACAGTAGATCCCATTCTCAGAGATCGCGATCCTTGGCGATTTTAACGCCCACCATGCCGAATGGCTCGTTTCACGTTTAACCGACCATGCGGGGAGATCTGTTTATGACTTTGCCTTGGTACATGGTCTTACACAGCTGGTTACATCGCCTACGCGGATTCCAGATGTGGAGGATCATGCAACTTCCCTGTTGGACCTTCTGTTGACCCCTCATCCGGACGGATATCAGGTTTCCGTCGACATTCCTTTAAGATTGTCGGACCTTTGTCTTGTCCGGAGTGTGGTGCCACTCACACTAATGTCGCGGTTGCATTGTGCCGCCGTGTTTGGCACTATAGGTCGGCCGATTGGTCGGTCTTTTTTTGCATCCTACCCTTGGGGGCTTTGCTTAAGTTTTGCTTCTCACCGGAAGTACCCAGCGTTGCTGCTGGTTCTGTTGTTGTTGTGGTACTTCAGTGTATGGAACCTTTTATTCCATCCTCTATGGTTCCCATCGGAGGCAGATCCCAGTCATGGTTTGGTCGCTCCTGTAAAATAGCATCACTGTTTATAACAGGAGAGCTACCGGTCCAGGGCTGACGCATCAACGTCTCGGGATGTAAACACTAGCGCTCTTAAAGAGTAGTATAATTCCCCTCCAGGTCCTTCACTAGAGTTATTGCCAAGTCAAGCTCTGAGCACATCGGCAGAATTGGCGAGAAGCTTGTTCACCTTCCTTCGGGAACCCGTGCAGTCTGGTCTCTCGCTAAGGCTGTCCAAGGGAACTTCTGTCAGCCATCTCTTCCATCTCTGCACAGAGAGGACAACTCACTGGCCCATGCTGCAAAGGAGAAAACCTATCTGTTAGGCTCTCTCTTTACGTCCAAATCGACTCTTGATGACGGGGGGAACACACCGCCGACCATTCCCCGGTGTGAGTGCTCCATGCCGGATGAGCGGTTTACACAGCGTTCGGTTCGCAAAGCACTGCTCTCCCTGGACGTCAGCAAGTCTGGTGGGCCTGATGGAGTCCCTCCCATTGTGATGAAGACGTGTGCTCCGGAGTTGGCACTGCTTTTAAAGCGTCTTTTCCGGTACTCCTACTCCCAAGGCGTAGTCCCAAATTCATGAGAGACAGCTTTGGTTCACACGATCCCTAAAAAAGGCGACCACTCAGACCCGTCCAACTACAGACCTATCGCCATCACCTCCTTGTTCTCCAAAATAATGGAATCTAGTTCAGTTCAATTCCCAGAAGACACAAGTTTGCGCGTTTACCGCTAAAAAGAACCCCTTTGTCGTATCTCCTCAATTTCAAGGCACTGCCCTTCCTGCCACAGCTAGCATCGGAATCCTCGGCGTTGACATATCGAATGGTTTGCAGTTTCGTGGTCACTTAGAAGGGAAGGCCAAATTGGCCTCTAAAAATATTGGCGTGCTCAGCAGAGCAAGACAGTATTTCATGCCGGCACATCGCTTGCAACTTTACAAAGCGCAAGTTCGGCCTCACATGGAATACTGTTCCCATCTCTGGGCCGGGGCACCCCAGTGCCAGCTCTTTCTACTTGACTGCATGCAGCGCTGAGCGGTTTGAATCGTCGACGACCGAGTTGACACGCGACTTTTCGCCAAAAAAAATATAAAAAATGTATGAGTTTTTTATGTTTAAAAAAATATAACATTCGAAATTCAAACATTTATAACCGGCCAAAAGCGCAGAACTTTCAATGTGTCCTATTTATCACACGTCCCTCACCTTTGCTGTTGCTTCCTGTTATACCTACCTGCGTGAAATAGCAAAATAACGTGTTTATAGGCCACAGCATCTATTTACCATCAGATAGACTGTGTGCGGGTTTGTCACCTTTACTTAAAACATGAATACATGCATATTTATTAACTTTTGCACCTGCAAAAGTCTTTTCATCCTCTCCCACGGTTTATTGGCTAAAAATTTCACAATACATTAAGGCGCAAATGAGTCACCGGTAGCCAGTGACAAGCAGTTCACATTCGTCTTGCTTGGATTCGCCTCAAACGTATGGCCACGAAAGTGAAACCGCAAATACAGCTGTAGCAAGTGGCCGCCACAAGCCACATGAAACGCAGACACACGACACTGACGCACATTTTAACTGTAGTTACATTTGGTCATACTCATACCAAATATAGGCAACGTTGTCGTCTATGCCGTTTACGTATTACTAGTAGCTCAATCAACGCTTCCGTCTCGAAGTGCATCGTGAGATTCACTCACTGCAAACAGAGTGTTAACAGAGTTTAAAATTATGGCGACCAATTTCCATCGCAGCAGGTGGCGACATCCACCACGGCTGTGACCGGTGGCTGAACATAGGCCTCCTCCATAGATTACCGAGTTCAATTCATTACGAGTTTCTATTAATTAAATGAAATTATTTACAAGGTAGCCCGGGTTCAATAATGACATCTGGGTGTTGAATACCTCTAATTTTTTTATATAATTTAAAAAAAATTGTAAGACAAAAAAAATTAACAACTTTTCCATCCCGTTCCTGACTTAATATTTGTTGTTTAAGGTGAAGTTAAATTAGGGTTAATTTGCTTCATTAAAACTTTTCTCGTTTGAAACTCTCTCGACATCAAAAACTACGTTTATTACTAGATTAGTTATCTCTATCAGAAAGGGTGTGTGCAGGCATTTTTCCCGACAGTTTTATTCACGTAATTTGGAAATACTTTTAACAGTAGTGACATTCGTTCGGGCGCACAAACAGGGTATAGTTTTTATCATATAATTTCAAGCTATCCAGTATAAAATAAAGTTTGCTATTAATTTTCTATATGGTGGCTTTAGAAAATTTATCGACCTATCATGTTCCTTAGGTACCGTAAAAGTTTACTTTCCATGAGAGATATCACAAAAGATGTCTTTGTCCAGAAGTGTTTTGCTGCTTACGCGTTGGTGATGTAAAGAAGTTAGTAAAAATATAATACGTACTTTTCTTCGTCTTTTAGGGTTTCGCTGCATCGATCACTAATAAAAAACTAGATACACAATCCCATGCAAAAGTTCTCTAAAAACTGTCGCCAATATTTATTCATTAATGTAAATTCAACCTTAATGCATTGCCTAAAGTTGTATTCACAAAGCTACGTGCAATTTAAAAGCGCATCCAAATGTTCGAGTGGGCGCTCATTCGGTAAGGACATTTTTGTCATTGATTTACACGTCGTAGAGCCATGCTGCAGCTATATTAATAGTATAGTTGTAGCACGAATGGCTCGGCTCCACCGGGGAAGGACCACACACCTAATAACCTCACTAATCAACTTTATGACAATCTAGGCAAGTAACACTATTGCCATATTCCTAGACCAACATACGACAAAACAATATCTTCTATGAATAGGTTTATATATTTATCTTATATTACTTTCTTTTCAATAGGGTAACCTCGAAAATTCTATTCCATAGTTTACTAGGTAAACAAACGATTATGACTATTGTCTGATATAACTTGGTCGTATTATCGAAGAAAATAACCGTTATAGTAAATAAAAACAATGAAAATATTATTTTTCTATAGATGCGTGGAATTGGACTTCTGGAACGGCCGCACAGAAGAGCCGGTCATAGTTCACGGGTACACGTTCGTGCCGGAGATAAGCGCGCGCGAAGTCCTGGAGGCGATCGCTGAGAGCGCTTTCAAGACGTCCGACTTCCCGGTTATCCTGAGCTTCGAGAACCATTGCAATCCTCGACAACAGGCCAAGATCGCCAACTACTGCCGGGATATCTTCGGTGATATGCTTCTCGATCGTCCACTCGACTCGCATCAACTCGAACCAGGTTTGTTACTCGTTATAATTTTGTATGGTTTGCGGTTAGAATTATGAAACAAGATTTTGTTTCATTATCATCATTATCAGCTTGCGACAGTATACTGCTGGAAATAACCTCTTGCAAGGTGCGCCACTTAACGCGGTCTTCGGCTACACGCATACAGTTCCTACCAGCCACCTTGTGCAGATCGTCGTCATCGTCGTCGTCGATCAGTCAGGGGGTGTCCCACACTACGTTTGCCTAGACGCGGTCTCCACTCTATTACACGTCTACTCCACAGGTTGTCACTTCTGTAACAGACTTTTATCAGACAATTGCCACTTCAGTTTATAAACACTGAAAGCTATGTCAGTAATCTTGGTTATTCCACGAATTTCTTCATTACGAATTTTATCCACCAGGCAGATTTTGTATAATGTTCTTTATTCATAATGATTTCTTATATTTACGCGAACACTACACATTGAATAAATCTGCCTTTACGGATTTTATCGCGTTTATTTGTTCTTATTTTTAATTCCCGATGTTTCGGGTGCTGGAAAGCAGTTAAAAATAAGAACAATTAAACGCGATAAAATCCATAAAGGCAATTTTATTCAATGTGTAGCGTTCGTAAAAACTGTTTTATTCAATATGTTCTTTATTAAGAAGAAAGTTCAATATCAGTATGCAGTATTGAACTGTATATAATATTAAGTATTAAATCCATTTAGTATTCCATTATCTACTGCGATGTTTAATATTCCATTTTTCTAGTAGAGGTAAGTATGAAACACGTGATTTGTCGGTCGGAGTTGAGGAAGGAGTAAACCCTTTTTTTGATGGATCGTATCGTTACAGAAAATATTTGATGACAGCATTTTGCACATAATAATCGTACTAGGCAAAATATCAAGAAAACCTAAAATATAAATTGAATATTGCTGTAGCTTATGCTGAGTCGAGAATCATGTCGTCGTGTAGTTTCCATTAAAATATCTTTTTCATTAAATTTTGCGTTAACATACGGGAGTGCGTTTTTAAATTTGCGGAATGGAACATATTCACCTGCTACTCTAATACATTTTTCGGATCTTTCAATTAACTTATATACCCTCTAAAAATTATTTGTCCTTGTCTAAAAAATACGCCGAATCTGCTTCCTTTACTTTTTTATCAATTAAAAACTTTTCCCACGAAGTTCTTCTTATAAGTCTGCAAATAGATAATAATCACTGGGGGCCAGGTCAGGACTTTAGAGTGGGTGTGGCAAAATTTCGAAGCCCACCACAGGGCAGCCATCGCAACATGTCACTTGTGAACAGGCGCGTTGTCATGCAGAAGAAGGATTCCTTTGGTCAATTTTCCCCTTCTTTTCTCCTTTTTGGCTTCCTTCAATTATTCTAGGTTTGAAGCGTAGTAATTTCGGGTTATGGAGACACCATTATCTTTATCATTAATCAATAAGATTCCTTCTCAGTCTCAAAAGACTGTCTCCATGATTTTCCCAGCCGATTGTGCCACCTTAAATTTCTTGGGTGGCGGTGTGCCTTTTTTGGGCCTCTGCATAGAGTCATGTTTGGACTCAGGTTCATAATGGTAGACCCAAGTTTCGTCACCAGTAACAATTCGAGCCAACACTCTAAGCTGAGCCAAAAATGCACGAGAACACTCCACTCGCTGTTGCTTTTGAAGCAGCGTGAGCATTGTAGGCACCCATCTTTCGCAGACTTTAGTCATGCAAAGAGGGTCATGAAGAATTTGAAAATAGTTGTATTTGATAGTATTTTAGTATAGTCTGAACTGATTTTCCGCGCTTGGTAAGGACTTTTATAATGGCACGGAACTCGATTATCTCCATATTTCACAATTTCTACCCGATTGACTTGTTTGGTTGACGATAACTCAAGGACTAATGATCTAATTACAATAAAACCCGGTGTTTATACTAATAATGAGTTGCTCCAATTAGCACGTAATTCAGCGACGTTCCCAATGATACCTACCTACCCATTCCGCGAACTTAAACGCACCCTCGTATCTCTCTGTCACGTCATGTGTGGTATTAACGTGTAATGAATTTATTTCTATTTCTTGGCTGTGTGGATTTAACTGTATAGGCGGTGTATGAATATCCATCCACTATTCCATATCAGCCCGTGAGTGCCGTTAGAGATGATAAAGGAAAACAGAACCAGGAGATGGGCAGCAGCTTCTTCGTTATAATAATAATGTTCTCCAGGCCGAATTTCGGTCACGGTGGAAAGTCTCAACGGCGACGTATCGCTCATTGCTTATTATGCCAAGCGTAAGTAGATGTCAATTTGAAGAAAGGTCTTTTTTAAAATAATACCTGTTCTTATATTCATGGTTATTCTTGGAAGCTACTTATCCAATGTCTATATTATAGATATATACTATATTCTAGCATATATATTAAGTTGTTTTTGTATATATTTTGTTTGATGATGAAGTTTTTGTATCTGCAAGTGATATGAGATCCTCTTTTCATTTCATTGATGATGATTATAATCTTCAGCTCACGCTTAAGCATCAAATTTCACACGCATTTATCAACTATGTTTACCCTAATCTTATTGTATGTCATACTAACGTGCAGAGTATTCCATGTCATTCACTGAATTATTGGCCACTTTCTCATCTGATTTTGTCCATGCTATACTAGTGAGCCTGAGTAATGTTCTTTTACTTTTGTTTAAAAATTCACTAGCTAGGGGATTTTCTTATTACTAGGGGAAGCGCAATCTAGAGTGGTGCAGCTGCAACAGCAAACAAAGTTTGAAAAAAATCAGTACGGTGAGCTGGAATAAATACTTAACGGGACGTTGGTCGCTTCTCGATAATATAGCTCGCAGCATCCCTCCTGATTAAGATGAAACTTAAAAACCATTTGGCTGTGATCACCAAAAACGACGACGCTCACCAGGTTTGATAACTTGCCCGGCGGGAGATCTCAGCTGTTTTAATAACTACCGAAAAAGGAAATTGACATTGTGATCACTAATGTGCCCGTTAAGCGTAGCGATTAGGGCAAATTCTCAAACTCCCTTTTTTAACTTTACTTTTAGTCAGTCTCTTTAACAAGTAGCTGCAAGAAACTTACAAACATACTATTTTTAACCTAACGGTTACATTTAACCTTATAAAATATAATACATTCTTAAGTAAAAACAGATCTCAAATAAAAATAAAAGTTATCTAATAATATTCTTTCTTCGTGAAAAAAAAGGATGTTATAACTTAGATAATTTCAAAAATAATTAATGATTTTTAAATGCGTCTTGAATTTATGCAAAGGCAAATCAGTAATATTACGGGTAATCTTCTTATGAATTAATAGTTATACATATACATAAAAATGGGCCGCCAGTTTAATGCTTCAAAAGGAGTTTGGAGGAAATTAATATATATTTAAACTAATATATTTAATATATTTAAACTACATAAAAAGCAAAGCCATCAAACTTATTTCTGCAGTATATGCTTTAAAAAAGAGAGGCCTTACATGTGTGAACAGCTAGATTAGTATTTTTTTCTTTATTTCCATAGCATAGTGTCATTTGGAATCTTGCTGTGGGGTAATGCGACTGACATTGAAACTATATTTGTTGTGCAGAAGAAAGCTGTAAGAGCAATTTATAACCTAGGTCCGAAGGAATCTCTTTGTGACAAAATTAAAGAAATAAATATATTAACTGGTAGGTTTTCACGAAACAGTTCTTTGAACGATGTTATCCGAAGGGCTCTTGTCTCTATAAATGTTCCATTGGTTTTAAAGCCTTGTGGAATATTTAGAGACGGCGGCAGGAGACCCGATGGTATGACATTGGTCCCTTGGGAGAGAGGTAAAGCCCTAGTGTGGGATGCTACTTGCGTAGACACTCTGGCGGCCTCTCATCTCAGGGGTACCTCGTTTAGAGCCGAGGCGGCATCAGAGGCAGCTGAACTGAGTAAGTTGCTCAAATATGAGTCTCTGAGAGATGACTACATATTTGTGCCATTTGCTGAAGAGACTATCGGTCCGTGGGGTCCACGTGCGGTGAAGTTCCTAAAGGAACTCCATCCGCGGCTGTTCGTTGCTGCTGATGATAAGAGGGCTGGGTCTTTTTCACTCAAAGGCTACACTTAGCCATTCAGCGGGGAAACGCAGATAGCGTTCTTGGCACGATACCGCGGGGAGTAGGACTATATGATAATTATGTTTCTAGTTTTAGTTTTTTTTATTATTATAGTATTTAATATTGTATATAATTAAATTACATGGGGTATTAACTTTTGCCTCTCAATATATTTACGAAAATTTAATGTACGTACACAAAAACAAAAACAGTTTTATTAAAATAGTGATGTACATTCCATAAATATTAGGACCAAGCGCAAGTTAGTTATACTTCAGCCTCGACTTCAAAGATTCATTAATTGCTTCATGTGGCAATGTATACGCCTTTACAACAAAGTCCCAGAAAATATGCAGACCTTATCTATCAAAAGGCTTAAAATATCTATTTATATAGTAAGTAGTAAAGAGTACATAATTTATAATAAATCCTGGGAATGAGGTGATCGCTACCATGTTGTTTCTAAATGCTTTCATAACAATTGTATAAATATTATATTGTAAATTATTCTTTAAAAAAAGTCTCGCTGGGATTCTTGCTGATTCTTACCTGGATAAAGGTATTATTGCGAACCAATGGTAAAAGTGAAAAATGACTCAATAAGAATTGCATGTAATCAATCTACATTGAATAAAAATTACGTTCTATTCTATTCAAAATGAAATAAAACCCTATACTGCGGTACCTACTTTGAGTTTATAAAGTTACGCACATTACTCATTTTGTCTAAAGTATTATAATAGTTTCTTACATGAATAATTTTACACAAAATTAATTGCGATTTAATAGTTACTCAAAAGTAATTAATTTCTTTACGAAGACCTCTCAGTGAATCTTTTGGACTAATGTCGTAAATAACAGTCAAGTCTCGCAACTTTACCAATGGAA